GTCTACTTGATCGCTCCTGATTAACACTGATTTCTTTGGAAATGGACACACAATGTTTATTTCGTAGAAATAGCCGTGAAATGGACACTTTACATGTAAAAGGTGTTCATTTCAATAATTTGTTTCGCTCCCCTCGTGTGGCTCTACACACCGTACCTAATATTAAAATCTGTTCGCCATTCTCTAAATGAGCCGCCGCGGCATTCTTTAGTGTTATTTTCCGCCACTTATTAGAAGCTATTTAAAAGCGTCTTGCCTTTTGTGAACTCGGTCAACTTTACGAACCGTTTCTCATATCTTCTGTTGTAATTGTGATAATTAATTTCTGGGACCAAGCCGCCGAAGGTCCGCGTCTGCGATGTTCGCTTGTTCTTGGAAAGATTTGCCCAAGAATCGTGCAGAACAAATGCTACGACCTTTGTATGTAGCTATTTTGAGAATGTTCGGGTGTGGGAAAATTTATTTGAAGCTACTTTGACCACGAATTAGACCGATATTCGAAAACAAGGGTTTATTTTATTGTAATATATTGTTATTGTTCAGGAACAATTAAAAGCTATTTTGGTTTTCCACCTTCTTTAGGCGTTATCAGCTATGGTTAAGTGCTTTTATTGGCTTGTGTAGTGACTTTACGGAACGTGTAGTAGTCAACAACTTACAACCTGTTTAACATTTAATATGCAAAGTTTAATGCTAAGAAAAGGTACATCTGTGACCTCTTGAAGTGTGATTAGAGCTTTCAACATCATAGTGGACTAAGAGAGCAGACAATGGTGCATTCTGAATACGTTTCATGGGCAAAATGAAGAACAAAATCAGAGTGACTCTTTTATCGTTATTCAATTTGTAAATGCTGAAAATGTGTTTTCGATTTTCGTTTGGGGTGAATTATCGTAGGAAAGAAAAGCGGTGCTCGTTTTATTTGAACTAATTCTAAAAAGAGCTTTTATGGGTGACACGTATAAAAAAAAAAAAAAAAAAGATGAAGAGTACGCCATACCCGAAGAAAATGTTTTCCTTTTTATGTCCATTGCAAAACTCAAATGAAAGAAAATCTTTTGACGGTCATCAATTTGATGCCACAAATATTTGCTCTGGTTTGTTGAACGCAAAACAGAAGCTTCATTGTTCGCGTTATCCCGAGGAGTTTTGACGCATATGAAAACAAACTATAAACTGCTATATACTGCGCTAAGCTGAGAAATGGGTAGAATGGAGATTGTTTTAAATCATGTTAAATAGTTGTGTTGTCCGTCTTGGTAGTGTACTCTTTGCCAATCTGGTTGCGTGTAAACTTTAATTGTTTTCTTAATGTGGAATTCACTACAATGGCCGTCGCGTAATTGTCTCTTTTGAAAAGGAAGTGCCTCAGTGGCGTCGCCCAGGTCAGCCTACGCGCGCGCAAAGTTTTCAAGGTAACAGGTTACATTTGAGTTCTGTCAATAAACGTCATAAAGTGGACGAACCTTTTACCCTTCTGCCTTGTAATACAAGTAACCTCCTTGGTGCATTTACTGAAAATAATTGATGAAAGAATTTACAGAGGGATTTAATTAATCGGGTAATACAGAATTTTCTGTTAAGGGGAACAGATGTCATGTTATCGGTTCTTAATTAAAGCGTTTTACAGTATTTTTATGACGTGGGTCATCCCACACATTCTCTAGCTTCTCGGTAAAAAGGTCATCTCTACTTGTTTTGTCTCCAAACATTGTGTTAGGATAGTTTTACTCTGTAGAAAAGCTATTATCTTTGTTAGTCAGGTTGGCGCTCCGCCACAGCTCAGCTTGCAAAGGTTGTAAGGGTTACTAGGTAACTAATATGTACCACTTTATTAAACCTGGCAATATATAATACGCGATACGAATCGATCAATCCTTTGGCGGTTTGCTGGGACAGATAGACTTTCAAGACATTGAGGAATCTTGACTTACACAGGTCTGTTTTCATTTGAGTGTATGTATTTCGTTGAATCCTACCCAAATGAATAGCGGAGCCTCCCTGGCTCATCTGTAGAGTATTAAATTCCCTCCTCTTCCTACCACCGGAAATACTCCCTTTAAAAATGTCGAATCTTATTTTTGCTCACTGCAGCTAAGATTGATTGTGATAAAATTAGCGTCCAAAACGTCCTCGAACTTAAAAAAAGGTCTTTGTATAAACTTTCCAATAATGAACAGGATGCGCCATGTCACGTTTTTTGAGCTACAGTGGAAACTCGATTTAACGAATGGCAGGCAGCCTTGCAAAATATGTTCACTATAACGAGGTTTCGTTATATTGAGGTTCTTTTCTACATATTTTATTAATACTGGGGCGGAGAATATGTTTCGTTATATCGAGGACTTCGTTACATAGAGGTTTGTAAAATCGAGGTTCTATTCCTAACTTGGTTGTACTACCAAAAATTCGACAATACTCGGAGATATTTTTCTTGCTATGCACGTTTTAGGACCAAAAGCTGACGTGACGCTGCCGAAGACAGACTCAGAGTGTAAGACAGAAAACTAGAGATTGAGGCACATAACTGCAAGTAGAGCCGGATATAAAAGGGAAACATCGCCTGCGCATCTCAGAGCGTATAGCTTAGTACTTCTGGTGTAAGCATCATGTGTAACGTCGCGACATCAATCAAACTCAGGCAAAAGCTCTCGTTTTGTCATTTCGGTTGTACAAAAGTAGTCTTGAGAATTATCCGCCTCACTTTTCTGTGCGCTTCCTCCACCACCCCCGGAATACTTATGGAAAGATAGGGTAGGATTGTGCCTTCAAAGCAAGGCGATATTTAAGTCAAAAACCATTCATTTTGCCACCTGTTTGAGACATGGTGCCATTTTGTACAACTCAGTAATTTCATTTCGCATACAGCGGCTGATCTTTGGTGGATCTTGACTTTTTCAGTAGCTTCTGATGTGGAGCTGTAGAGTCCAAACATTTTATGCCCAAACAGCGACGATAGAAATGAGATAGAAAAATTATGAGCTAATGTAAAGTTAAAATTACCTTGTAAAGCCCGTGAACCGGGCGCTGAGGCGTTGGGAGGGGTGGGATGGGGTGGGAAGAAGTCATTAACGCCGGCATAATTATCATATGGCTGGATCCGCGAGCGGACGAGATGAAGCGAATCCTGTTTTCTGATTGGCTATCTGAGCGGACAAGATATACCTATCTTGCCAAGAGATTTTTTTCACCCTATGATAAGTAAATCCATTATTGACCAAACTTGCTCAACATTGCCCTTTTTTGTTCTTTTTTTGGCCCTGTTATGGACTTCGGCTTCTTCTTAGCCCATAAAAACGCCAAATAAAAATAAAGGTTGCATTCCTTTTAGCCAATCTAAATCCGGATTTTGCGATAGAAAATTCGATTTTTTGTTCCATTTTAAAAAGACCAAACCAATCTAAGATTGCAATCCGAACGATCTACCTCTGAACGTGGATCGTTCAGATTGGTATCTTAATCTGGTTTCAGATCTTTGTTCCATTTAATAAAACTGCTTTTCGATCACAAAAACGTGCTTGTTCATCAGTAAACACGGCGGGTCAAGGTTAGTTCAGGCAAAAGTTATTTATATTCCCCCGTTGTTCTATGCCGCTAAAGGATTTTAATATATTTAACTCAAGTTCCACTGTCACTCTAAATCCGTTAGGAAGTGAAAACGCTTAGATTTTCTTACTGTAAAACTATACTGTCCATTGTCTGTTTGTGTTTAGAACGCGCTTCTCAGCGCTTGAGAATTCGTAATTGTCTTCTGAATTTTCTTGAATCAAATTCCAGATAATTTTAAGTTGATGAGTTCCATTATGAACCACCACTAGTTAACGAGCTAATTTTCTTTCCATTTCTCCACGAGAAGATACTTTTAGCAGAAAGAAGTAAAAAACGATGCGTTGAAATTGAGAAGAAGATCGGAGCGGCAGGCTGCTGCTGTATGGATAAATCTTATTTCAGATTTTTGTTCCGGCTAGCACGAAAATCCAAACAATCTGGATTGTTCAAATCCGAAAAAAGTTTGGCTGAAAGGAGTGTAACCAAAAAATTAGTAAAATAAAAAAATTAAAAACTAGGTCAATATCCATCGATCTTGACCTCACGCTTGATCGATAACGCATGGAGCACGAAGTGTGAATATTGTTATATGTAGACTTTTAAAAAGGGCGTATCCGTCATATACGGGTAATTTCTCATAAGTTATTTTTAGAGCCAATGGTTTTCTTGAAATTCATATCTAAATGACCATTGCCTGGCTCCTTTTGGGGATTCCGTGTTTGGTTATCGATGTTAAAAAAAGTTGAGATCAATTACAGAATGTTTTACACGCGTCGTGGCAAATGGTTGTCAGTTGCATATTCTTTTCAAAAGAGTGTGCAGCTTTGCAGCTTACAGCTTTTGACGTGAATTGCGGCAAAATCGCTCCTTAACGCCCTGACCCGGCCTCAGCTCAGAACTACACGTCCTTTTAAATAGTTTGTATAAGAACGTCTAGTTAGGTGGAGCTAAGGCTGAGCTAAGACGCAATTCAATTTTGATCAAAAGTCATGATGAAAACTACATCTTGGAACTCCTCTGCCATGTTTTTTGACGGTGTTTAATTCAGTGAACTGTGTTACGTAACCCATGTGTACTAATATTAATATTAGCGAAACTTTTCGTGTTATCTTCATCATAATTTCTTTATAAAAAGACACATATTTACATGGCGGAAATGCGAGCAAAAAGAGAAAAACTGAAAACAGTGACCTAGTAAGAGTTTCGCGTAAAGTTCCCCTATTTAGATAGCTTTTTGACGCATTTCTGACCTTCAATGCCGTTGTAGCTAACATTGTTCGTCTTTCTTTTCAGCTCCTGAAATTCGTGTCAAGCCAAATGATAACCAAAATATTTATGCTAACGAAACGTCTGATATCAAACTTCCCTGCAACATCAAAACAAATGGAGAACAAATTCCCTATCATTGGCAAAAGGATAATAGAACGTTCCGACCATCAGATCATAGAAGAATGAGTGTTAAGATCTACAGATGGTTAAAGATAAAGAAAGTCCGGAAAGATGATGCCGGCCTATACACCTGTGTTGTCATGAACAAGTGTGGCGAGAAGAGATCTGTTTCGATGCACCTTTATGTACGCGAACGTAAGTACCTCATCATAGTCAGATCACTAAATGGACAATCTTATGCCTCTTGTTTTGGGGCAAACACAAGTGTGATCTTTATTCAGACACTAAATTAACCCAGCGTAATCAGCATCAAAATTCTCCTTGTAATATCAATGCTTATTAAAACAGAGTGGTCGTGAGAATTACAGACATCATGACGCAAGATGAATGTGCTTTATATATTATCAACTAACCCTCTACTTCTGTAGGAAATGAATAGGGGCAACAAATGAGAATTCAATTTTGATCTTAGGGTTTAAAGGGTTAAGAGGAAGCTTTAAAGTGATCTGTCCGTTCTTAGTCTTCTTACCCCGATCTGGCTGTTATCGAAAAAGATAAAGGTGGGGGGTGGGATGGGGGTGGGGATGGGGGCGCAATTTAATTTAACAGTCCCTCTTTATCTTTTGTAGTAATAAATTTTATGAATTAACTGACTGCGATAATTATTCTTGGTTTGCTTTTATAATTTAATTTAACAGTCCCTCTTTATCTTTTGTAGTAATAAATTTTATGATAATTATTCTTTATTTTTGCTTTTATAGTGCCTACACGCGATCCGAACAAGAATTTAACGCCAGGTAAGATTGAGATGTTAGAGCACAGTTTTCCTTGATTTGAGATCTTAAGCGTGGAAAGAAACTTGACGAATAAACTCTTATGGAATATTTCTGTAATATGTTAAACACGAGGAGTGTTACCTCTGATATCCAAACAGAGAGAAATTAATCCGTTTATACCTACCAAACATTCACCCGCTTTATAGTGGAACCAGTTTTGAATGGCACGCTTATGAAGACAATGGGCCTAAAGAAAGGAGATCTGGAACCAATAATTATACTGGGGTTTGGGACGGCCGGAAAATTCGAAAATTCTCGGAAAATCTGAACGCTCGCCGAGAGTGTCGAGGCTCTCGGCGTCACACCTATAAGTATCTGCTATTTGGTTTTAACGGAAGTGGAGACTCAGATTTTAAATGGAAGTGCCCAAGTGCGACTTGCAGGTGAATCTAATTTGTCCTTTTAAGGGGAACAGATTCAAAAGGTCGATGCAAAATCTGTTTACATTCCGCTGCGCTCACTTACGAGATATCAACTTTGTTAAACACTTCTAGATAATTTCGTGCCCATGTATCAAGGAAATTACTTATGTATTTTCCTATTTTCAAGCTGCCTTCACGGGGATAACTATCTCTGTTTTCTTATTATTGAAGAGGATATTGAGAAACAAATGTCAACTACATTCGAATCTCCACGAGCGACCACCTCCCATAAGCGACCTCCTATCTACATAAACTGACACCAAAACTTTTGCAGTGAAAGCATTTAGTTGGAACCTCTCGTCATTCTGTATGCAACCACGACATCTTTTCGGGGCTTACGGTTTAATAATTTTCGATTGTTTCCTATAGGCGAATCTTTGCTGACGTCACTGTTGACATTTTTCCTCATTAGCATACGACTTAACTCACAGAAGCCGTGGCCGCACATATGAACCAAATGCAAAACTAAGAGCTGATTAAGTTGAGCAATTTGTGCAATTTTCAGCTCTTTGCAAGCAATATTGAAAGAAATATCAGCAATCAAAAACTGCGAAATTGCTGGGTAGCAAAAAAGTTAATGAGCCATACATTCTCTGTAAAATTTCGAGTTTTCAGAAGAGAATTTCTCGGAAACCATTCGGTGTTTTGGGCTCAAATTTTCAGGGATAACTGAAACTGTTATGCTCTTTCAATATTCAGAGTTTTTATTTTATTAGCGTCATCAGATAATGATAAGCATATGTTAATGAGGCAAAAAGTGTAAACAAAGATTCGCCTATAAGCGACCATTTGACGCATGATCTGATCTCTATGATATGTTTGCTGTATGTATATGCTACTTACAGTATTCGAAGAACTTAAGTAACAACATGGAACTGAGCATATCGTAACCTTAGAAACTGCACGCATCTTACATCGGACACCTTCTCCGAAGAGAACCCCTGTGGTCTTTTCTCGTTAGCGAGCACCTCTCGTAAGTGACCACTGAGTCTTTGCAGTTTGGATGGTCGCGTACGGGAGGTTTGAGTGTATCGTCCTTGTCTTTTTGCAGCTGCTCCGAGGTTCACCGTACCGAAACTCAAGCTTCAACAAAAGCTGATAGCTCTACCGGTCGGAAACTCCGCGAAACTTGACTGTTCGGCCGATGGATACCCTCGCCCCTGGGTTGCATGGTACAAGAATGGAAAACCGTTTCAAGAGAGAAGAGGTAGCTCTCTGTACTTGGATTGGAAGTATGTGTTGGCTTTGAAGGATGTGGTTCCGTCAGATACTGGGACATACAGCTGTAATGTCAGTAACTATCTGGGTTGGATAAATCATACATACTACGTTGATGTGCACGGTAAGGTCATTGATATAAAACGCCTGGAAAATGTAGCCTACGTCGCAGACGTAAGCTAACCTCGGTTCGTAACGTCTAAAAGGCAGCGCCGAGATCCTTGTTCTGGGTCCTCAATGGACTCAACAAAGTACCGGAAGTACGTTTCGAATTCCCTTTCATCGTAATTGGCATTTCGACAATGGCATTTTTAACAGGCCAATCATGGCGCATACTCAAATCCTGGTACACCGGTGGGGCCCATAACAAGGATTTTGGCGCTATTTCGTAGACGGGCTTCACCAGAAGTTTAGTTCCGTGTGTGGCGCAGGCTAGGAAAATGATGAAAGAGACGTTTGTTAATTATTTGTTAACCTCTCTATTCCATTCAGCTTAGCTCTTCCTTTCTTGTTGGAATTAGAATTGGCCGGAGAAGTTTCAAATTTTAAGGCCGCTTGTTGGGTTCAAAGTGGTCCCAAGTTATTAAAATAGTGTTCCGGAGACTGGAAATAAAAGTATCCCTCAGTAACGTAACAATTCTGGGCAATCGTTTCTAAGAGACACTCAATGTTGCTTACACACAGACGTCTCCTGTTTCCTAGCCCTTTCTGTTTCAGTCAGCCTAGTTAGAGATATTTCAAGTTGTAAAGTCCCTGGAGACTGAGACTACAAATTTATTCTTGAATGACAACACAGAACTTTCACAATTCTTTCCGTAGCTTACGTACAGACGTCCCCTGTTTTAGGTAATAGGCTGATTTAGCAGCCGTAGGGGAACGTTAGTTGACGACGGCGCGGGCAAATCAAACAACTGGCTTGACTAATGGAGGAACGGCAAATTGGGCACCGGAAGTCGAGTTTAGTCCTTTCCGCGCGCTTTCCCGTCGTCAAATGACGTTCCCGTTCTGTTGCTAAATCAGCTTAATACTAATAAGAGACGTCTACACACAAGCGACATCTTCTGGCGTTGGTTGGTGGGGAGCTGATAAGTAATTTACGCGTAGTTAGACAAAGAAAAACGTAACCTGTCGGAAAAAAGAAAAAAAAAACGTTATTGACATCTTTTGTGTGAAACAATTATAAATCATCCGTCTGCTGTATGCTCTTTGCGGTAACGCTGTAGTATTTCTCAGTTCCTCAATGGTTTTTTTTCAGTGAGCTGTAAACTACAAAAAGCTCTTCGTTTCAGAATCGCGAGAGACTAAGGGTGTAATGAGAGACCTGCGCAAAATCTTTCGCGTTTCTCTTGCGCTTCGCCTTGACCTTAAAACCCTCGCTATTCGCGATAATAAAGAGCTTAAAACAGTAAAAGGTTTGAACCCAGGAGTCATTTCATGAGTAGATGAAGCATAATCGTCCGGGTGAGCGTAGTCCTGAATAGGACTGTTGTTGTTGACAGTGACTGCCGTTTCGACAAAATGTGCGGTACTCATTTTCAGAGTCAAAGTGAGCCAGGGACGGGGAGGTTGTTTCACGTCACTTGATGATATTTAACTCTGATTGATGAATTAAGTCGCGATAATATTGGTTATCTGTCTGTTAAGTCGTGATCTTATTGGCTATGAAGACTCTAATTTCGATTCGTCTTTACTCACAGTTTTTTCAATCTTCTTTTATAATATCGGCATATCTGTGTTCTTCCTCCGTAGAACGAAGTCGTGCTAAGCCAGTGGTCCTTTCGATGTCAAACGCTACAGTTTTTGTCGGCGAAAACGTGACTTTGATATGCAAGGCATACAGCGACGCCATGCCTCATTTCCAGTGGCTCCGTTGGTTTCCTTTACCTTCCAACAGCTCTGGTAATGACACTGATAGCAAAAAATTTTCGTATGAAGTCATAAATCAGAACCAGCAGGATTCCATCAAGTACCAAAGCAGTGGCAACAACAAGCACGAATTCCATGGAGTCCCTTTAAGTTTGGTCAACGTTACAAAGAAAGATGAAGGAAAGTATACGTGCATTGTGGGGAATGCACTCGGTTATTCTGTAAAGCACGCTTACATCGTCGTTCAAGAAAAACTGGGTAAGATAGGTTCAATGCTAAAATGAATACATACCCTAAGTTAGTTCAATGTTGTTGATTGATAATTATACCTCTTAACCCTGCTACCTGTATTTACCTTATTCTTGTATTCTTGTCATTTATGTGCTCAAATGACTTTGAATTGTTTGTAAATGGGTGTCCTGAATGTAATTAATAAGCCCCATGGTTTTCTATAGAGGCTGCACTGCCACCAAAAATTTGTCATTTTTTTTTCTTGGTGTTAATCTCATAAATAAATAAAGTATAAGATATGGTTCCTGCTTGTAATGAATCATCCAACAAAAAGATAACTCTTTCACGGTTATGTAAGACTTAATGGACATAAAACCTGGAAGAAAAAAAATGTAATACACGTTATGTTTTACTATATGCCTTCCCAACCGCTTCTGTTCGAAATCGAAGTTATCGCCTACTCATATTCGAGGAATTGAGGTATCAAAGAAAATGCCAAAGTGAAGAAATACTTAAACAATTAAATCTTATGAACAGCACACGGCAGGAGGCAAACGATGCAGATGGCTATTTTCAAGCGTGGCCTTGCGTTTAAATCGTGACGTTTAAAAGTGAAAAACAACTCCAGTTGGTGATCTCAGCGGCTTTAAACCAGACCTGCTCTGAAAGTGTGTTTTTATCTCCTAAGCGTCTTGTAGAGGGCGCTTCCGCGGAGAGAAATCTGCACACTTTGATTCTGCGATTGATTTTTATGCTTGGGGAAGACAGCATGGCCGACCTGTAAGTGCGTTGGATTTGCAATCCGGAGTTCCTGAGTTCAAGTCCCGCCGGCCCTGATTGCTAACTTGATTTGCTCTGACTCGTTAGTCCCGTTTTCAAATCCAAGCCCTCCTTTGTAAAATAATCGACTGCGGTTCGCCTTCTATCAACTGGCCTGGGATTGTTAACTTTGTTTTGTTTCATGTGAATTATTTGTTTCATTATCCCTGGAATGCTCCACAAAGGGAGAAAATAATTAGTTGTTCAAATTGAATTTAAATTTTAACGCGCTGTAGCCTATGTTCTCTGCTGATAAGTATGTATTTGATTTCAGAAACAACTGCGTCACCACCCGAAACAAATGCGACCTTTGGGCAAGGTACAAATGGAAATCTTCGCCCACCTGCCGAATCACCAGGACCTTTATTATCATCATCGTCATCGAAGCGAAAAATTCTTATTGCAGTGTTGGTTGCTGCTAGCGTCGTGTTTATAGTGTTGTTTGGAATTGGCTTTTATCTTTACCGGCGGAAGATGAAATTAGCTAAAGAAGGCAAATACGGTCTTGTTAACAGTCCCAAGCCAAATGAAATCGCTGTGGAATACAGGGCTCATGACCCGTCCGTTGGCGGCTCCCTATCGTCTTGCGGATCAACCGCTCCATTGATGCGGCAGCGAAGTCTACGCTCTAGACTGGGTTCTAACCTCACTCAGGTGTCCGAAGTGGAAATGCCTCTGGACGAAAAATGGGAGATCGACAGAGAGATTATCAGCCTACAGGAAGTTCTTGGAGAGGGCGCGTTTGGCAGAGTCATGAAGGCTGAGGTGTTAGGAATGCCCAATATGCCCTTCAGATTCAATGTAGCGGTTAAAATGCTTAAAGGTAAGTTTTGTATTCTAGTAATCACTGGAAAATACACTTCCGCTTTCACTGCAAATTTTCTTATGATGATCTTGTTATAGCATACCGCTTCTTTAATTCTGTCCAATACAACGAACGTGCGATCCCGACAGAGAATTCCTTTCCCGGCCGCGCGAACGTTCAGATGGATTGAACAATGGTTTGTCCACGCAAAAGGGAGATTAATAGAGGTATTAGTCTATTGCTAGTCTAACCCAGCTCAAGCGCCGTCACACATTCATTGTAACCAGTGAAATAGGCTTCTGTTGAGCATTTGGAATAACAATGAACGATGTGGCAGACCTAGAAATTTTCACTGTCACGAAAACAATAGCCATTTCTTCCGATGGCCTTAAAAGTGGAGAGATATGTACGCCCCACTGCGAAAGAGTGAGTTACAATTTTTTGATCAAGTTTCACAGTGATAGAAACTACTTGATACCTTTTTTTAGTGGAGAGAAAAGCAATGACAGCAACAAGAACAAAACTAACTGTCATGCTCATGCATATTTTGATTTCAGAGGATGCCACAGACCAGGAACTCACAGATCTTGTATCAGAGATGGAGGTTATGAAGACCATTGGAAAACACAAGAACATTATCAATTTGATCGGAGCCTGCACTCAAGGAGGTTAGTTGACCGAGCAAACATTAGTTGATGAATCAATTAAAACTGAAAAATTAGTTGACCTGTGTTCGTGTGACTGCGAACAAGATAAAATCTATGGTTATCTTTCTTCTTTAACTCTTTGGCCCAATATAGGAACCTGTTTATGGCAAAGGCCTCAAAGCACCATTATTAAATTCTGCTCTCTTTTTCTTTAATCATAGTTGTTAGTTTGGTTTGGGTGCGTACATGTTGGTCTTTTGGACTACTGTTTAACGTAACGTAAGAACATTGCAAACCGCTTTAACATGAAATATTCAGAAACCATCCAGTGTCAGTTCACAAAATTAGACGTTCTTTTTAAAAGTACAGTCAATCCTCCATGTGAGACCACCTCTCGTAAGCGACCACCTCTCATAAGCGACCATCTATCCAAAACACCAAAATTTCCAAGGCAAAGCCTTACGGTTGGAACCTCTAGTAAACGACCACCTCTGGCAAGTTATGGCGACCCCTTTCAGGGTGACGGTTTTATAAATTTCCATTGTTTCCAACCTCTAGTAAGAAACCACTAGTGATCTCCATACTCGCTGTACTACAAGTACCACGCTACAACAAGTAACTTACAAAATTGTGTGCAATAAATTCTCTTCTTGCAAAAAGTAGATAATGTCTGGACCCCTTCTCGGAACGGACCCCTTGTGGATCGACTTTCGTAAGTGACCTCTATCTAAATCTTGGCATTTTGAGTGGTCGCTTACGAAAGTCTTGACTGTTGTGAATTTTTAAAATGTTAAACTGTTATTGTTGCTTTTTCCCTTTAGGTCCACTGTATGTAGTTGTAGAATTTGCTCCAAATGGTAACTTAAGACAGTTCTTGAGGGAAAGGAGGCCAACCAGGGAATATCCCACAACACTGACGCTGATGGACCTAGTGTCCTTTTCGTATCAGGTCTGCAGAGGAATGGAATATCTTTCTTCGAGAAAGGTATGTGTAAGCAGATGTAGGAGTTCTTAGATGACTGTATGAGTGATGTATGCTCGATTTAGTGGGAGCTTCGAATTAGCTCGGGTTCGGGTTATTAAGGTAACATTTTAGGAAATGTACATGTCTGAAGAAAATCCAGGAGAAATCAATTCTGTTTCGAGTTTGTGCTAGCTTCAACCGAGCTTGGAATTTCTAGCTGTTAACTGTTTACATCCGTGGGGGATCCAGATTTTGAGATAAGAAGTTGCGGTGGGTCAAGATGGGGGTCGATGCATCACGACAGACATTATGATAAGCCAGACACTTTTGAATTTTTTTTCACGGCCAGAGGATTCATCGGTTAAGGCCAATTTAAAATAACAAGTCTTACTCTTTTTTTGTTAGTGTATTCATCGTGATCTTGCTGCCAGAAACATTTTAGTTGGTGACGATAATACGATGAAGATTGCAGACTTTGGTCTGGCTAGAGATGTGCATCAAGTCGATTATTACAGAAAGACAACAGACGTAAGTATTACATAATGATGTTAACTTAAAACGCTCAAGGGTGGTATTATTTTTCCCACTAAAGAGAGCACATCTATTTAAGTTCCACTCGTACTTCTTGCAGTAGGAAATGCAATTTCTTAAACTGAAAACAAAACATAATTATATATCACCAAGATTAGTTAAAAGGAGTTATGTCACGCTATTTTCTTTCTTTCAATAAAAAAACTAAAACGTTTCTTCGCATCAATTGAATTCCAAAAATAATGGCTCAGTTTAAGACTATATTTGGGCATTTCAAATGGGTTTTAGCTATGCTTGCATAAATCACCAAAAAATTATTATGACGGTTTTTTCAATGATTTTTTGTATTTCTTCTTCGTAACTCTACAGTAGCATTTTGTGTATTGGTAATAGCATTAATATAAGTCATGACTTTGGCACAGAATTGACCTAAATCAGCAATTGACGGCTCCATAGAAAAAACTCGACTACTACCAATAGGAGTCGAACCTCATTCTCGTCCCCAGAGCCTCCTGGGGGCCTGAGAACGAGGACCAGGGGGCTCTGGGGACACAGGATTTGAAGTCCTAGATTTCAGGACTTCCGTTCATTTCCGATTCAAAAGTAAGTTGGAGGATTCTCTTTTAAAAAGCTTTGAATCACCTAAATGTCCAGTAATTGACACTTCTGCGAGAGTAAGTGAACGCTATTAGAAACGTTGTAGAAATCAGAAATGACCGGAAGTCCTAAAATCTAGGACTTCAAATCCTGTGTCACCAGGGCTTCCTGGTCCTCGTGCTTAGGCCCCCAGGAGGCTCTGGGGACGAGAATGAGTCGAACCTATGAACATCTGGTTACTAGATCAGATGCTCTACCACTGAGCTACAGAACTTGGTTCATGTGACAACCATCCTGCATATTGCTAGGACTAGAATATCGATAGCTGCCTGATGCGCAATCATAAAATGATAAAAATGTGGTAGTGAACCTATGACCTTCTGGTTACTAGTCTAGATCAGTGCTTTATCACTAAGCTACAGGAGATTCGTTTGAGCTAAGGCCACTAAACTAGGTTCATGTGACAAGCATCCTGTATACTGCTAGGACTAGAATGTCGGTTTGTGCTTATGCGCAATGATAAAGATGTGATAATGAATTTTGAGCTTGGTGAGTACACAAGAAAGAGGATTTTTCAGTCAGTGACACAGGCTGCTCGGAAGGAAAAATCCCCGTGACGTAGCTCCTTTAAAGATTGGAAACTATCACTTCCCAAACACGGGACAGGGGCTCTCTCCACTGAGCTACTCGTGTAGAGCAATTCCATTTACCAGGTTCATATACGTCCTACATGCTGATAGGATCATCAGTGTCCTCATTTAAAACTGAGCTTCATATTTAACCTTTACAGCAACTATAATGTTGATGATTTTTCCATTATGTTAATTTGGTGATATATTTTCAATTAGGGACGACTACCAGTGAAGTGGATGGCCCTCGAAGCCCTCTTCGATCGTGTCTATACTACACAAAGTGACGTGTAAGTACTTTGAATTGTCGCTTAGTAAACTGTATGGTGAGGCAGAAAACTGTTGTTGATGTTGTTTTTTAATAAACCTGTTGTGACCTTTACCCCTTTTATTCCTACACCAGGTTATGCCTGGATGCTTTTTCACTCTAACGTTTCAAGCTGGGTACGAAATTGTATATGCTACCATTCAAATATTAAACTCTGCCAAAACGTTTGCAAAGTACTACAATTGATTTCTTAGGATTTCACAGAGAGATATTTGAAATTTCTGCGAAAAAACAAAAGCGTAAAAATTAAAAGTTTGAGAACAAATTTCAAGCCGTTTTGTTATTAAAAGTTACTCTTGGGTGATAATCTCGAGAGTAGAGTCTACGCGGGATCAGTTCTCCCAACCTTAATCCTGTCTTACCTCAGTAAAACTCATAAATAAAGACCTCGTTTTCGAAGTACAACCAACTCTCTCTAAGACTGACACCTCTGGGACCAGCACTATGTGTCCGTTTAGAGAGATGCCCGTCTTATAGAAGAGTCAACTAAAAGGAGTAAACTAGGGACTAACTCTAGATGTCCGTTTTAGTTGGGTGTCCGTCTTATAGAGGTGTCCGTCAAGAGAGAGCTGACTGTATAAATAAGAACAATCTCTGATATCCAAGTCAAAAGGTGTTTTTAAACATGGTTCTTTTTTCTTTCATCAGGTGGGCCTTTGGTATACTTGTATGGGAAATAGTTACTTTTGGTACGTATATTCACGAGCTAAAGAATAGCTCTATCATATGTCGCATAAAATTAAAAATGTCTTTCACTGCCGAATCACCAGAATACCCTCTTCCACTTTCTTTAATGGTTAATAGTCACACTTAATTAACGTTTTTATTGCGTTTTATCTGTAAACTGTTACGTCTTTAACTGCCAAATGCTCTTTTCTAGGAGGGTCACCATATCCTGGCGTTCCTTTGGAAAACCTGTTTGAACTTTTAAAATCTGGATACCGAATGGAAAAGCCACTCAGTTGTCCAGAGAACATGTGAGTAGCCAATCGCGTTTCAATTGTCAATGCATAAAAGTCTTCTTTTCTACGCTTTTGTGTCTAACGTTCACTTTGAACTTCGGAATTGCAACGTAATTGTCGTATTTCCTTAACCAGTGCAAATAATAAGCCCTTCCCTCCCCACTTCTTCTTAGAAGATGATCTACATAACAGAGGTAGCCGAAACTGACTAATCTAATCCGAAGCTGTCTTCCGATAGCGAAGTGAACTGTAAAAAAAAATAAAAATAAAATAAAAAATAAAAATAAGTAAATAAATAACGGGGCTCTGTTCTCGTATTTTCTAAGTTTTTGGTTTTTACCTTATTTTCTTAGGCATGAAATTATGTTGAAATGTTGGCAAGAGTCACCGACGAAAAGACCTACATTTGAGGAACTGGTGAAAGAGTTCGATGCCATGCTTGTGTCACTATCAGATAGTGTAAGTAGTAAACTGCTCTTAATACGTCAATCGATCATTTACGGTTGTGGGTTGACCGAGCGTTTATATGAGAAAAAAATTAACCCCTTTTCCCGAGCCAAAAGCGCTCGCATGGTCTAATTGTCTCGCCTTAACCGAGATGACCCGGCTGGGCGAGCCATTGTGCCGGTTTATATGGAGAACAGTTGGCCCGGCTTGGAGGGTGTACACCTCGTTTTACATCTTAACCCACTCCCTATCATGTCTTTCAGTACCGTTTCAAAAACAACAAGAGCATCATTTATTGGCAAAAATAAAGTAGATTTTCTTCATGTTCTCACCGCCAATGCGTTTACAAGATAACCACTAACTAACTAACTAACTTTCCAGTCAGTTAAAAAAAATAAAAATACAGTGTTTTCCGTTAAAACACTGCGTATGAACTGGTGCCCATGAGAAGTAATGGCGTCCTGAAGAACAAACAAACAAACAAAAAACTAACATTAACTAACAACCGAACAAACTAGCATCTACTTTCTCTTTTGTTCTTTTGTCCCAAACATTACAGCATTGTTGCATATTTCACCTGAATCTGTACTCGTTTCAGGAATATATTGATCTGGAAGCATCACTTATGACTCCACTGGAACCACCAACTCCAACGTCATCAGAACCGCCTTCTACTCCGCGAAACTCAGTAGGAACTGAACATGAAATGGAGAGTGATGATAGGGACAATGACAGCGTGTTCGTTGATAACACCAACGATATTTGGGAAGTCCGTAATCTTTCGAGACACGCGAGGAAATCAGAGGGTGGCCGGAACTCCAGAACGTCATCACTTTTAAATGGACAGCAAACGGACAGAAAATGCGCTCGACATGTATCGAACCCTGAGATAGCTGACAGTAAAAAACCAACGCGTTTAACTGCTTTTCGTTCACCAATACAAAGCGATGTGTGAATTTAAAGTATAGCGAGGTGATGTCGAATATCGTCTGAGCAGCTACGGGGAATATGGAGTGACTGAGGGAATACTTTTGGAGTTGTTTTAGTCATGTAATCCGTGACTTCTTTGGCTGCCTCATTAATGCCGATTTGACTTCGTTCATCATGGTGTATTGCAATGAGGATTGCGCCTGACATCAAGTATTTTATAGTACCCGTGAACCAAATAAACAAGAAGCCTTACAATGCAACACCTAAAATACCTTGGTGAGACCAACGAAAGACTGAGTAATTCCCTCGGAAAAAAATCTAATGTTTGAGTCTAGGCCATACAATTTTATTCTAGTTCTAATTTTTGGCCTAATTTTCATTTTTCTTCTTCTGCGTCAGTGGTATTAACATCGGAGAAGGCTGTCACCTATTGAGTTGACTTGAACTGGAAACCAACCCCCAAAGTACTAAAAATATATTTGTATATAGATAAAGAGAACTTTAAACAAAAATATTGGTTATGGAAAGGATATAACTGATTCAATGAAGGTTGCTTAGGCATTGGGCAATTGCGTATTAGGAAGCTATTGTTTGGTGATCACTCAAGCAAATCAGTGCTTTGTTCCATATGCTCAAATGCCCAATTACCGATGACCAATTGTCAAAGCAACCTTTTTTGATTTAGCTGTATATCCCAGATAGGTTTAGGAGAAGAGTACAAATAAATTCGTAGTGACAAAGACACTGCTGGTGTTGTTTGGTTTGCTGCTTTTGAGTTAGTCTCCAAGAAACCACTTTCAACCGAATGTATTGAAAAAAATCACTATTATGGGGCTCTAAGTCAATAGCTGTTTTAGTAAAAATCCAAATACTTGGTCAAAAATTTCGAGACAAAACAACTTTAGCTAGCAAAACGCGATTCAGCCGCCATGGTTTTGCTTTTCAAAGCCTGCGCTTTTCGCTACTAGTGGGCTGTAACATATGGCCTAGTAGTAGCTCCACCAATCAGAACGCAGCATTGATAATAGACCACTAGGTTGACCAATGCGTTTGAATGAAGTGTAGCTGTTGTGGTTCAACTTCACTCTTGGTTTAAATTTTATTTCCCTTTGTTTTAAACTCGTTAACATACATTACCATACCTCAAAGCAAAGGATAAAATTTAAACCAAGGAGTTATCTTTGTTTATCTTGTATTAAGTCAAAATTAAAGATTATTTGGGTTTTTTACAACAGCATTTCCCGAATCTCGCGTCACGAAAGCGCAAAATCTCGCTCTCTGTGTCCTCTAAACTCCCGAATCCCGGCCTTCAAATAAGATAAATCCCGGATCCTGAGAAACCTGTTGGGGACCCTACTGCTCTCTTACGTACCAGTCGTTTCCGTTTAGCTAACTATGTAAAACACAGAGACAAGCGAGGGTAAGGGGCATAAAAAGGAGCAAAAAAAAAAGAAGAAAACCTGAAAAAAATAAGAGCATTGGGGAGTGGCAGGAAAGAAAAGGAATCGCCTCGTTTAGCTAAAACGAACCAGAAGCGACCTGCCTCCAAGGCTATTATTGTTAAAAAAGACATTAAGATCATTACAAACAACATGCTTTCCCTGGCTTCAAATAATTTTCCTGGTAGCGAAGGTTAATTTGTCCGGTCAAACCTAGTTTTATCTCTGGAGAAGTCTCCCCTCCCCCTGGTGGATATTTAAAGTAGCTTCACTGTTTCTCAAGAAATGTTTATAAAAATAATAATAATAAGAAGAATAATGATATTGATAATGATAATAATAATAATAATAGTAATAATAATAATAATGGTAATAATAATAATAATAATAATGATAATAATAATGATAATAATAATAATAATAATAATAATAATAATAATAATTAGTGTTGAGGATGCCATTAATATTGAAGAAAGAAATATCAATGTCTACGTCTGCCAGAGCCAGGAACGGTTGTTGAAAGCTGCATGGAAGAGGAAGAATGTCAATGAAATTGAAACGCCAAAGGAATAAAAGGAAAAGATGAAAAGGAAAAGAACTGAGGACTGGTCTGGAAAGCAGCTGCATGGGCAATTCAAGAGAGAGACAGATGACCTATCTGGTGTGTCTTGGGAGTGGATAAGAACCGGTGAACTGAAGAAGGAGACAGAAGGGCTTATTTTTGCCGCGCAAGATCAGGCACTAAGAACAAACGCCGTAAAAACCAGAATCGAAAACCAAAATGTATCATCCAAATGCAGAATGTGTGGTAGCCACGATGAAACTGTGCAGCATATTTTGTGTAGTTTCCCCAAGCTTGCGCAGACAGAGTATAAAAAGAGGCATGATGTTGTTGGGCGGGTCATTCATTGGGAGGTGTGCAAGGAATATGGAGTTGAGTGCAGCGACAAATGGTATGAGCATTCCCCCAAAAGCGTCGAAGAGAATGAGGAGGTTAAACTGTTGTGGGACTTTACCATCCAAACAGACCGTGAAATCCATCACAGGAGGCCAGACATTGTAATTCAGAAAAAGAAGGCAAAGGAAACAATCATTGTGGACATAGCTGTTCCCGGAGATAGTAATATACTGCAGAAAGAAACTGAAAAGTGTGAAAAGTGCCAAGACCTGGCAAGAGAGATTCAAAGGATCTGGAAATCAAGGACAAAAGTGGTGCCAGTGGTTGTAGGTGCATTGGGTTCAGTGTCAAAGAAGCTGGCAGGCCACTTGGAGCAACTAGGAATTAAAAACGGAACAAGAACGATGCAAAAGTCGGCACTCCTCGGATCGGCACATATCCTCAGAAAGGTGCTGGAAGTCCTGAGGTCTCGGGATGAGACTTGTCTGGAAATTTCTCCCCAGGGAAAATCCCTGTGCTAAATTTTACATAATAATAATAATAATAATAATAATAATAATAATAATGATAATAATGATAATAATGATAATAATGATAATAATGATAATAATAATGATAATAATAATAATGATAATCCAAAGAATGAACTTCAAACATGCAGGATGCATAAGACGGTGAAGACAATGAAAAGGAGCTGCACCCCAGAAATGATCCTGCAAGAATATTTCTATCAATGAAGAAAGGGGGAAGAGGACTCATTGGCTGTGAAGCTTATGTCTGTGGGAAGAAAGTAATTTAAGTTGGTATTCAAGGAATTCCTAGGAGCTGTTGCTCAGGAAAGTAGGTGAGCAAGGAACAGTGAAAGTGGATAAGGCAAAGGATCCACTAAGGAGTATAAGAAAAGTGAAAAGAGAGATGATGGAAAACAAATGGAAAGAAAAACAAATGCAGGGGTAATATGGCAGGGACATGACGGGAGTGGATTGGGAGAAAACATGGCAGTGGTTGCGGAATGGGGACCTCGAGGGATGTACAGAAGCTTTGATCTGCAGCGCACAAGAACAAGCTTTAAGAACTAACTATATCAAGTTTTACGCTGACAAAACCTCAGAATCAGAGAAAGTGTAAGTCACCTAACAAGTGAGTGCTGCAAGTTAGCCCAACGTGAGTACAAAAGGCGACATGACAATGTGGTGCGGTATGTACATTGGCAACTGTGTCGGAAGGCCGAACTGGAACGAGCAGATCAGTGGCACAAACATACCCCAGAGCAAGTGGTATGGGATTTCAATGTACAGTGTGATAGGATGGCTGAAGCTAGAAGGCCGGACATCATCTTCGTTGATAAGTAGGCAAAGGAGGCTAAGATCATAAACGTAGCTATCCCTGGCGATACACGAGTAAAAGACGAAGAACTGGAGAAAATATAGCCTGCGATCATGCCTTCTCCCCTTATCTCTGTAATCTGTTTTCTGTTTTTCCCTCTCGAGCCAAAGAAGGAAAGAAGCAAAAAAGCAAAAAAAAAAAAAAAAAAAACGCCTGATCTCAGGTTAGAGAAAATAGAGAAGTACCAATTTCTTCGACGAGAAGAAATAGAAAAGTTGTAGAAACTAAAGAAAGTGACGGTTGTGCCAATTGTGGTTTGGGTATTCAGAGTTGCATCCGATATGTTTGAGAAGTACGCGGGCATTGGACTTGAAGTGATCCAGAGAGCAGCTCTGTTGGGAACGGAAAGTTTTGGCCATTTAGGGACTCAAATGTAAGGACTCTTTTGGGACCTTTAGGAACTTTTTGTTGCTTGCTCTCAAGGGTAATTTACCAGGTAATGTAAACTTTTTGAGCCTGAGATTTTACAATGTAATAATAATAATAATGATAATGATAATGATAATGATAATGATGATGATGATGATAATGATAATGATAATAACAATAATAACAATAATGATTCTGTTTGTTAAAGCAGATCAGAATTTTAACAATTTTTATTTTTTTGCCAAATGGGGAAATTTAAATCTCGTAAAATATACCCGTTCCATTTTCGCGAAATCAAGTTCCAGCAAAAACGTAACAATAGGGCATCAAACACGTGCACACGCTCTTGATACTGTACATAACACCTTTAATTGAATACGAACTATTCCACGCCTCCGAACGCTACCTACCCCAACCCGCGGGAAAGTTTCAACGTTCGGCTAAATCGTTAATAATCTGTACATTTGTGCATTTAGATTTCGCTTTTGTTTTTTTTTTCAGTTTTTCTCACATGTTACCAAGTCATTACATGCAACAAAATTTCGTCTAGGATTATCGTACTTCAAAGCAACCTCCAAAATCGAACTATAAAAATATTAAACATCAGGGCTCGAAGAAAAACTTGACGGCCAGCTTTTACCAGGGCCATTGCTTGCTCGTTTTAGTTAATGATTTAGGTACGAGATGACTCGCTTGGCCAGCAAGAAAACCTGATTGTCCCCGAGAACCGAACAGGACTTTTTCCGTGTCAAGTAATTCACACCGCCACACTAGCTACTTCTGAATTTGCGGTGATGAATTGAGGAATAACAAAATTGATAATTTATAATTCCCGAATATTTAAAAACGACAAGAACATTTATTTTGTTTTCTATTGGAAGCGTAAACGACCAACAAAATGTCCAGTAAGCCATACATTTGACTAGACAAAACTTATTTGTGAACGGGCATTACCCGTTGACGATTTCCTAGTGCCGATCCTTAGCTCGACGGCTTGCAAGGTGTTTGTTTACTTATCTCAAATTTCTACGAATTCTTTCTACATACACATCTTTTTCCTAATCATCTATGCTCTTCCGCTAAGTTCTTTGGCTTGATTTTATTCTCCCAAGTGGTTGTACACTAATGCCAAGTTGTGATGATTTGATTCTATACAGGCATGATCTTCACCGAAAATCTTTTTATAAATCATCAGTGCTTTTTCGTGAGGTTTTTTGGCCTGTTCGTATTCTCCCAGGTTGTTGTACACTGATGCCAATTTGTGATAACTTGCTGTTAGGCATGATCTTCACCGAAAATCTTTTTAATTTTCGTGAAGTTTTTTGGCTTGATTGTATTCTCCCAAGCTGTTATAAACTGATGCCAACTTGTGCAAACTTGTCGCTACATGGACATGATCTGCACCGAAAATCTTTCGGCGAATCATCAGTGCCTTTTCGTGAAATTCTTTGGCTTGAGTGTATTCTCCCGAGCTGTTGTAAACTGATGCCAGCTTGTGATAACTTGTTGCTACATGGGCATGATCTTCCCCAAAAATCTTTTTGCGAATCATCAGTGCTTTTTCGTGAAGTTCTTTGGCTTGACTGCATTCTCCCAGGCGGTTGTATACTGACGCCAGCTTGTGATAACTCATTGCTACATAGGCATGATCTTCACCAAATATCTTTTTGCGAATTATGAGTGCTTTTTCGTGACGTTCCTTGGCTTGATTGTATTCAGCCAGACGGTTGTACACTGATGCCAGGTTGCTATGACTTGTTGCTACATCGGGATGATCTTCACCAAAAATGTTTTTATAAATCATAAATGCTTTTTCGTGGAGTTCTTTGGCTTGATCGTATTCTCCCAAGCTGTAGTACACAGATGCCAAGTGGTCATAAGTTGTTGCTACATCGGCATGATTTTCACCAAAAATCTTTTGGCTGATCATCAGTGCTTTTACGTTAAGCTCTTTGGCTCGATTGTATTCTCCCAGGCTGTTGTACACTGAAGCCAAGTTGTTATAACTTGTTGCAACATAGGGATGATCTTCACCCAAAATCTGTTTGCGAATCATGAGTGCTTTTTCGTGACGTTCTTTGGCTTGACTGTATTCTCCCAGGCTGCCGTACACTGATGCCAACTTGTGATAACTCGTTGCAACATAGGGATGATCTTCACCAAAAATCTTTTGGCGAATCATGAGTGCTTTTTCGTGAAGTTCTTTGGCTTGATTGTCTTCTCCCAGGCTGCTGTACACTGATGCCAATTTGTGATAACTTGTTGCAACGTAGGCATGATCTTCACCAAAAATATTTTTGCGAATATCGAGTGCTTTTTCGTGAAGTTCTTTGGCTTGATTGTATTTTCCCAGGCTGTTGTACACAAATGCCAAGTTGTTATAAGTTCTTGCTACATTGGCATTCTTTTCACCAAAAATCTTTTTGCTAATCACTAGTGCTTTTTCGTTAAGTTCTTTAGCTTGATTGTATTCTCCTAGGCGGCTGTACACTGATGCCAAGTTGCTATAACTTGTTGCTACATTGGCATGATCTTCACCAAAAACCTTTTTGCGAATCATTAATGCTTTTTCTTGAAGTTCTTTGGCTTTATTATATTCTCCCAGGGTACTGTTCACTAATGCTAAGTTGTTCAAACTTGTTGCTACATGGGCATGATCTTCATCAAAATTCTTTTTGTAAATCATCAGTGCTTTTTCGTGAAGATCTTTGGCTTGATTGTATTCTCCAATGGTGAAGTGCACTGGTGCTAAGGTGCTATAACTTATTGCTACATTGACATGATCTTCACCAAAAATCTTTTTGCGAATCATCAGGGCTTTTTTGTGAAGTTCTTTGGCTTGATTGTACTCTCCCATACTGTAGTAGACTGGTGCCAAGGTGCTATAACTTTTTGCTACATCGGCATGATCTTCACCAAAATTATTTGTTCGAATAATCAGTGCCTTTTCGTGAAGTTCTTTAGCTTTATTGTATTCAGCAAGCCTGTAGTACACTGATGCCAAGTTGTTATAACTTGTTGCTACATTGGGATGATCTTCACCAAAAACATTTGTGCTAATCGCCAGTGCTTTTTTGTGAAGTTCCTTGGCATGGTTGTATTCTCGCAGACTGCAGTACACAATGCCACTTATATTAAAAATCCTTTCTTTACGAGTTAACGCACTTGTTGAATTGTCGTTTGTGTTCTCCAGTAGGTTGCATGCTAAGTCGACCACACTTTTCGCAACGAGACAATAAGAGTTTTCGTGACAGAAACTGGCGAGAGCATGTAGCCAATCAATAACTATATCCAAATCTACGAAGGGCGTTAACCTTTCTACAAAAGTGCTTTGATCCCGACTAAACTCTGACTTCATGTGCTTGACTAAAGATTCACAATGCGGTCTCAATTTTTTACAGAACGCGTAATTCTCATGACGATCATTTTCTTCAAGTTGGGACTCGAAAATCTTAACCGCTTCTGCCATGGTGTGGTCACTCTTCCATGATGTCAGGTTAAACACCTCGCCCCGTCTCAAAGCTTCGTGCACAACTTTATGCAGACGTAGATAACTTCGTTCACCCCCGTTTTCGCAATGAACAAGAATTAAAGAAGACCTTTTAATCTTTGCCTTCATGAACAACTCTGGTTGGTCCTTTACTTGGGATTTAACGAACTTCAAAACAGTTTCGAGTGGGATATCGTCGTCAGCGCAGAGAGAAAGAAAAGAGAACGTCTGACGAAGAACCTCGTCTGAGTCAACAGCTCTTTGGATAGCCATTTCTACTGCGGCCGTTGTTGTTTTAGCATAGGCTGAACTCTCATTAGCAAGGAAAGTTTCAGTCTTTTCTCTTTGGCTATATGTTGATATTTCTTGAAGGTATGCTTTCCAATTATATTTTGAAGACTCACTGGTCACAACAGTTTGCACGTAATAAGCAGCAGCAGCTAAGGCCAGTGGCTGAAAATCGAGAAATTCAGCGACATTCTCTGCTTGTACTTGCTCTGAAATTTGCGATACGTTTTCCAGCAATTCTATTGCCTCGTCTCGCCTCATTCCTTTACTTAACGATTCATGATACGTGTGAGGAGCGTTTTGAGGAATTGTGCCACTGTCTTGAGTGGTAATCAGCACTTGCCCGTGCCCCCATTCTTTACTGCCAGTTTGAGGCAGCAATTCGCGGACTAAGCGTAAGTCAATCACATTGTCTGCTATTATCAACCATTTGGTAAATTTACTGGCCTTTGGCAAAATCAAGCGATGGAGCTGTTGAATTGCTTCCTTAGGTTTCTTTCCCTTCAAAGATTCTAAGCCTGTTAACGCGTATTCTGTTATCCCTAGGTGTCTTCCAAGGGTAAGATAAGAGTCAGCAAGTGTCTCAAGGCTTTCTGTGTTTAGCGTCGCAGCAAAGATAAGATCAGTAACCGCGTCACCGGTTTGTCCAGAAAAGAAGTGTTGTCCGATTTCCCGGGCAAGTTGGCTCTTGCCACAGCCTGGATTTCCTGACAGATAAACTGTACTAACTGCTCCGCAGGAATCATTGTAAAGCTCCTCCATTTTGTTAGTGATTCTTTCAATGTCATGCGAGCGCCTAATGATAGCGTGTGGTGGGCGTGATGCAAGAATGCAAAATGGCTGAAGCTTCGCACTAATTTCTTGTGTGAGAGATCTGTTTTCTTCTTTTGCAGAAACCAGATCAGCTTCTGTACTCTGAAGTGTACTTTTTGTTTGTTCCAAGTCAGATTTTGTCTGCTCTAAGTCATCTTGCAGATCGCGAGCTTGCTTCTTAATTTTTTCCACTTCCTTCGTTGGAAAGGTCGTCTGGTTCTTAATTTCTTCAATCTTAGTTGTAGCAAGACCAAGGGATGTAAAAGCATTCAGCAATCTGTCTACAGACGTTTGGAAGTCTGCATCTGCCAACTTAGCCTCAGTGATATGAGCGATCTCGTTTCGCACCTGACGAAGGTCATCGACCTCTTTATAGACAACTGGGCTTAAGGTTTTACCAATGCTGTCTGAGTACAGGATGACAAAAAACAAACAGGTGCAGTCCCACTCTGCCGTGTTACCATTCTGAATTGTTGAAAGAAACCTCGCGTTTTTCTTGTGGCTTGCTTTAGATTCCATGTTGTAGAAATCATGGCCATTTTGTGCCGTGTCTTTCCATTCTCCAACTGACGTTGCCTTATAAAGGAAATCCCATTCGTTTTTGAAAATCTGCCGCAGTCCTACTGGGACCAATGTGGATCCTATGTAGCAGAGTCTGAAGTAGTTAAGTTGCTCCTGCGAATATTCCATGACCAACTGATCCTGTAAGAGATGTTTAACAGTTATTGAGTGAGGCTGAGTATCATCTGAAAAATTTTGAAGATCTCGAAGGGTATTATCGGCCAAGGGGCCTCGGCGGATAACACCCTTCTCGATCTCCATAATTCTTCGGACGATACGAAACCCGAATTCAATAATTGTTAAAGTAAAGTAAAGTAAAGTAAAACTTTATTTCGAAAGGGTGGCCCATTAAGCTCGGGGGCTGGTCTCCATAGGGGCCTTGCGTCTTAAAAAACTACTTTTCATTAAGAATTTGTAAATACATTTTAAATAGCCTAAAAATACAATAATAGCAAAAAAATTGCCTTTAAAACCTCTTCCAAAACAGTACAAAACAATGCAAAAAATTACATTTAAAAAAATCCTAAAATATGATAAAATTCAAAGAAAACGAGGTTAAAAATTACAATTCTCGGAACAGCCTTGTGATTCAATTGCCTCCCGTAAAGGACCACAACATTATCGACACGTCCTTGTTGGGTGGTCTTCATCGAGTGCGGATTTTCAGCAAGTCGACGGTTTCGAAGATCGTTGTATTTCTTGAAAACGAGTTCTTGCTCATTTGTTATGGAGTCTCAATATACAGAAGACTTCTCTCCTCGAAACGATGAGTGAGGAAGGGACAGGCGTTCAATAAATGAGAGGCGTTTATTCTGATAACTGTAATAACCTTAACAAAACGAATATGCTTTGAAAACTAATCCCTAATCCCTAATAGTTGAGAAGAGGTCTCAGATAGTGGGGAAGAGGTCGCAGCCGCAGCGGTCACGTTTCTTTTAACTCCTCTTGTTATTCAGTTGTGCCGCTTAAATCCCAGGAATAATGGCAAGTAATCTATCTTATGTTGCTTTCAGGAAGTAACTGAAATGGTTTGGCACTAAAAGTGAGCTGTTGGAGTTTTTATAGGAGTATTTTGGTGTTGAGTTTAACAAATTTTCAACGCTGGATAATGGCACGTGTTTAGTCCTTAAGAGCGGCCGTCCGTAAATATCGCCTTGGGCGGTGCAAAATGAAAAAATCGAAATAATTTAATTTAATTTTTTTAAATAATTTAGTATGAGAAAATAGAAGAGATTCCTGTCACGAGTTGGTTAATTATTGGCTTGCATTAAACCTAGGAAAAAATGATATTTTTTTAATAGCAAGTAGATTTAGTGTGTAGCACTTCTTGATTTTTTTGCAAAGGCACAAGGAGCACGAGAATTGATTAAAAATTGTGTGTTAAACCTCTATGTATCACGCGATGGCTGTTTCACTGTACCAAAATTATCATATCTCGGTGAGCATTCGGAAGTCAGCCAAGCGCGGTCATTGCACGCGTGCTGAACAAGAATGTTGTATCATGACAGACTAGAAACAATAGACAACTCCCAAAGCACAAACTCAGCCAAAACGCTAAAAATCTTCAATGTTTACTCAAGTTTGGGCTTATAGAAGATAATGTCACAGTTTTTCAATGACCATGAAATTCAGAATCCGGGTAGTTAGTTAATCAATTGTGGCCCTGAAAAAATTTGAAGGGAAAAAAACTAGGATTTTTTAAGAAAATGCTTTTTTCGTAAGAAGGACTCTTAAACGCTGACAAACGTCAACAAATAGCTAAAACTATAATTTCTATATGTTTGCTTTGCTCGAAATCGCGAGCATTTACAAGGCCCTAAAGCTTTTTGCTGACTTGCAAGGACCCATCTGTTATAACGATCCCCAAAATAAAGGGATAAGTCTCATAGTTTATTAGATGTAATCGTGTAAAGTTTGCTTATCATTTTCGCATAAATTATGACCTAAATTCGGAAACCGCTGAATTTCTCGAATTGGGTCTTTGCGATTTTAATGAAACTCTCTTCAGCGCAAGGCACTAATGCGCACTATGTGTAGCCGAGAGATTTTCACGAAAAAATGCCGGCAACAGCAGATTTTCGACTCAGACCTCAAAGGGGCGTTGCATTATAATCACGTGACATTTACTCCGATCGCCAAAAAGTTTATGTTATATTGTAGATTGATCTATATGTTATCCATTCTATGTGTTAGACTTACGATAAAAGTAAAGGTGGGGATACCAGAGAGCTTCAAAGTAGGATGGTACGCCCCCCAAAAAACTGCGCCGAGTCACCTTAAGTTTGGCCAAAACACATTAAGGCGAAAACGTTACAAGTTCAAGGGAAGGATGGCGATGATCTTAAAAACAACCCCCTCTCTCTCTCAAAAGAGAATGGTGCTAGATATATCTCCGAAAAGCATTTAAACAGGGGCGGACTACATCTTACTAGACAAGATAATGACCTTCTGTACGGAAATTTTGTTAAATCTTAAGCTTTGCCTTTAAATGTTAATAATCATCATTAGCCTGTCTCCTTGAATGCTGTTTGTTTCGACTCTGAGTCTTATAACAACCATCAATCTAATTTCTATCAATTTGTGTCTACGAAACATGAATCAACTTCGAATTTTCGTCTTCCATCAGAGCGTGGCCTCAAAATAGCTTCTCTGAATGTTTAGAGTTTATCTGCCCACATCGATGAAGTCAGAATTTTGCTGGATGATAAATTGTTCGATGTGTTAGCTATTCAAAAAACAAAGCTAAATAATTCTCAAAGAGATTCCGAATTCTACATTCCCCGTTTTGATTTAGTTAGACGTGATAGAATCAGTGATGGCGGCGGTGGTGTTTGTTTCTATATCAAATCTAGCATCAATTTTTTCTGTTCGAAACGATCTTAACATAGCCGATCTCCAAAACGTATGTATCGAAGTTCGAAAACCCCAATCCAAGCTTCTTATTGTTGTCAATTGGTATCGGCCACCAAATTCCCCTGTTAGATTGTATTCACACCTTGAGAACCTTATCGGAAAACTAGATTTAACAAATTTCGATTTTTTCCTGTTGGGTGACATGAATGCAGATATGGCCACTACCACTGAATCTGACAACGATGCTCGTCAATTAAATAATATCGCTGATATTTATGGTCTCCATCAACTAATTAATGAGCCAATCCGTATTACCCGATAAATCGTCTTCTCTCATTGACCTAATTTATACTAATTCTCCTTAGAGGGTTGTTTGCTCCGGGGTGGCCCATGTCGGCATAAGCGATCATAGTCTTGTTTATGTGTACCGCAAGTTATCTTTTGATCTTCCCAAGGGACATACTTCTATTAAGAAATGGTAAACGTGCAGCGTGCAACCATGGAGTTATGGATGCACGCGGGAGGTTGCTAAGCACGAAAGAAGCGTAAGAGTCGCACGAGGCGATAGCCGAGTGCGACTCTAGCTTCTTGAGTGCTTAGCAAACCTCCCAAGTGCATCCATAACTCCATGGTTGCACAGCTGCAACGTTTACCATTTCTTTTATAACATAATCAAAAGAGAAAAACATTATTTTCCATTTGCCTTCGGTTGAGTCCGGTCGGTACGAGTTCAAGTATGCTGCCACCTGCCCGCGCGTCAACAAATCTTGTCTATGTTTTTCAAAAACTTGCCTTTGAGTTTTTCTTTCGCTGAATCAACCGATCTCTGTCTTCAGGTAAATTGTAAAACGTTTTTCGTTGTTATTCTGAATGGCATCTGTCTACTTGCTCTTAATATTAGGGTGAAAACTTTGAGGGAAAACTATAGCTGCAACTATAAACACCAACTAAAAAGACTCTAAAAAACAAGCTAAAACTAAATAAATGAAATAATTATCAAGCTTATTTTATGTGACAATTTTTGAAATATACGTAAAGTAGAAATGAGAAAATTTGAAGGTAATTCCTTTAGAATAACAGGTAACACTAATTTTAAAAAGAAATTAACTAGCTTTGTATCGAAATCTGCCTGGGGAAATCCAGCTATGAAAGTCAAAGTTAAAACTGAAATTCGCCGACACACAGCCGGCGCTGAAGCTGTTGTTTTTCGATCAATCTCTGAACGACTGTTACGAATGAACACTGAGGAACAAAATAATACACACAGAAGTCATTTTTTTAAAAATTTATTTGAAAACCCAAATGTTTCTGTACTCAAATGAAATTCGCTTATTCCAGCGTAATGTGCCCGTTTAAACTCAACTAAAACTTTTAATAGATGCGATGAAAACTTCCCAACAAAGCTGTCTCGAATTTGAGCGTGTTTCCTGAAATATTTGCTTGGATTTAGCATCAGCTTGACCAAAAAGTCAATAAAACAATGCTAATTGATGAATTTACATTTCAAAGAGACTTTCTCTTCTATAAAAAACATACAAAATGTACCTTCAATCTTCGCTGGCTCGATTTTCCTTTGAACAGCCGATTCTAGCCGCGAGGAAAACAGTGATTAATTCATCCAGGGCAAATTTGTCGCTTGATCTTTTGTCTTTTTTCCTTCAAAACGACAGCTTAGTGTTTTCTTCAACTTCCACTTTTCATCTGTGCATTTTATCGGTGTATTTTACGGTCAGGAGAGGAGATTTGTTGAATTTGCCTGAATTTTACCGCGCTAGCTAAGTTTCTTGGCGTGCACCCACGGGCAAATGGTAGTGGCTAACTGACCAATCAGAGCGCGCGATTTACTTTTGTTATGTTATAATGACTTATGGCAGTTTTAAACACTTTAAACGCTCCGTCTTTCGCACTGATATTTCCAACCACAATTGGGATTTCCTAAGTTCTTCAAAAGACCCGAATGAGCTTTGGTCCGAGTGGAAATCAAATTTCCTGGCAATTGCTGATAAAAACGTCCCAGTACGTACTAAGCGTGTGCGTTCCCAAAAGTCACCTTGGATTACAGCCGATTCAAAAAAACTCATGCATGGCAGAGATATTATGAAAATAAAAGCTATTAACTCCAATGATCCGCACGATTGGGCATTTACGCCGCAAAATGTAATATCAACGCAAAATGTAATAAGAGTCGCCGCAAAATGTAATACTAACGCAAGATGTAATAACATTGACGCAAAATGTAATAAAATTTTCAACGCAGAATGTAATAATCTTTCAACGCAAATTGTAATAACTTTTCTAACGCATAATGTAATAACGCAAAATGTAATAATTTCCGAATAACGACGTTCATGCTATTTCAAAATCGGTATTGTTGCTCAGTCATCGGTAGTAGCGAATTCAGGTCTTCAATTAAATTATAACCTATTATTATTGATATTAATATTAATATTAATATTATTAATGATATTAATATTACTATTAATATTAATTATTATTATTATTATTTTTATTATTATTATTGCTAATATTACAATGAAACAGTTGAAATGAGGAGATGTAATCATCTTTTAGGGAACCGAATAGGACGTTTGTTTCCGCTGATTTGAACGTAATACAGGTCCCAATACAGTGCCCACCTAGCCGTCCTAAGTCAACATTTCGCCCTAAGTGAGAAATAAGTGTTAATGATGGCTTAGAGGAGGGGTATGTAGACAGTTTCCCATAATTATCCAAAAATTCTAACCCAAACCAAATTACCCATACACCCTCCCCCCTCAAGTGGTCAAAAATGGTCGGCCCTAAAACTGACGAAATTGCGCACTTTTTATGGATCTCCCAGTTCAAGATTTAGTACCGTCAACTCTAGGCCAATGGCGATTGCGTTGCAGAGCAAATTCAAGGTTTCGTTTAGCGTCGAATGCGTTTCCTGATATTGAGTCGGTCGGTCGAATTAAAAAAAAAAAAACAACCTAAAAAACAAAATCACAAGAAGTCTGGGAATAGGAGGCCCTGGTACCCCAAGACGACGTTAAAAGTTAACATTGACATATTTGGATTAACAAAATACACGATATACTGTAAAAAATGTTTATGTCTTTGTTCCTGTTTTTCTCTATGCTGTTACTATGCTCATTTTTCAGATTAAAAGAATTATTTCAAGTGAAAAATGGATTAAAAAAAAATGCGTTACTGGGCCAACTAAAAAAATTTTGCGCAATCTGTTCTAGGAAAACGACAACTACCTTACAAGGCAAACTAATTTGACTTTGCAAAGCTTGGAAACTTCACCATAAAAGAAACTTGGACCTAAAAAACAGCATTAAGAACAATTAAGCCTCTATTAAGTGAAAACTTAGGAAAAGTAAGCTACAGCCAAAGTTGTCTGGTTCTCATGAAAAAAAGTGTGACAGATATCTTATATTTTAATTATATAAATGCATTTGAGTTATGCTTTGAAACTTGATTCTATTACTTGTTTTCGACAACAGCTATTTTATTTGACTGAATTAAATTAAACACCTGATATTAAACCAAGTCTCTCAGTTGCTACAGTTGTGGTACAGTGCAGCAAGCTCTTGCAGCCATGTTTGTCTCGTCACGCAACGCTCCTCCTCCTTTGTTGGGGAAGAGTGTTGCGTGACGAGACAAAACACGGCTGCGAGGGAAACTAGCTCAGTACGGAAGTAACACGACGTTTCAACCGTTATTTCATTAATAATAATAATAATAAAAAGAAGAAGAAGAAGAAAATAAATATTATTACTATTTATATCAATATTGATAATAATAATAATAATAATAATAATAATAATTCACATGAAGATCTGGATCAGCTACTGATTACTGAGCCACAATAACGATTTTGAAATAGCGTGCACGTCGTTATTTCGGAAATTATTACATTTTGCGTTGTTACATTATGCGTTAGAAAAGTTATTACAATTTGCGTTGAAAGATTATTACATCTTGCGTTGAAAATTTTATTACATTTTGCGTCAATGTTGTTACATTTTGCGTTAGTACTACATTTTGCGGCGATTCTTATTACATTTTGCGTTAATATTACATTTTGCGGCGTAACAGGCATGCTTATCCTTGATTGTGCTGATTTGATTGCACCTCATATTTCAATTATATTTAATAGTTCCTTAGCTAATGGTATATTTCCTGACGATTGGAAGTCCGCGAGGGTTACTCCTCCATTTAAGCATGGGAAAGAAGCGATATAGACAATTATCGTCCAATTTCAGTTATCTCCATAATTGGCAAAGTATTTCAAAGGATTATCTATAATCAACTCTTTGCCTTTTTATCGGATCATAATATTTTGTCTAAGCACCAATCTGGGTTCCGCCCGCTTCATTCAACAGTTACAGCCTTGTTGGAGGCAACCGATAGTTAGGCCTATAATCTTGATATAGGTAATGTTAGCGCTGTTGTTTTCCTTGACCTTAAGAAAGCGTTTGACATAGTCGACCACCACATTCTATTGTCTAAATTACATCTCTATGGTCTAACAGGTGTTTCCCATAAATTGTTCTCCTATTTAGATAATCGTACTCAGAAATGCGTTGTCAATGGTTCCCTTTCAGAATGTTGCACCCTCAAGTGTGGTATTCGCCAGGGAATAATATTGGGGCTTTTATTGTTTTTGCTATATATCAATGATTTGCCCAATTGTCTGTCTCACTCTGTGCCAAGAATGTATGCTGATGATACCCATCTGGGTTATTCGAATGGTAATATCCACTCCGTTCAGTCTTCTCTGAACGAGGACTTGCTCAACATAAATCGCAGGCTTATCGCAAATAAATTAACGCCAAATAAAAAGCTGAGTTTATATTAATCGGCTCTAGGCAAAAGCTTAATAATCTACCTTCTCTGCCTTCCTTGAATATAAATATTAAACATTCTCATTGCTCTAAGTCTCTTGGCATACGTACTGACGAAAATCGAACATGGGAAAACCATGTTGACGCTTTATCTAAGAAAATTGCATCCGGTATTGGAGCTATAAACTCAGATAAACTGCATCAATCATTGTTTACCCCCACCGCCTTGCATGATGTATATTATGGCCTTGTCCCAACGCACTTTGACTATTGCAGCGTGGTATGGGGTAACTGTGCTAAAACTTTGCGTGATAAATTGCAGTGACTCCAGAACCGTGCGGCACGCGTTCTCACAAACTCCAATTATGATGCAGATCGAGTATACTTTTAAATGACTTGGGGTGGCAAAACCTTGAAACTCAGCGGCAAGTTCAAAAGGCTGTGATGGCTTATAAATCTTTGAATTGCCTTGCACCTGATCACACGTCTTCATAATTCATACTACGCGGCGATTTATTTAATTCTTATAACCTTAGAGATTCTGTAAGCAAGCTTGCTGTTCCCTTGCCACGAACCAATTACTATAGAAATAGCTTCTGCTACAGCGGTGCCGTTCTGTGGAACAATTTGCCGACTGATGTAAGACAAGGAAAATCTTTGACTGGCTTTCGGAAACTGTTAACTTCTAGCTTGAACACGGCATTCACGGAAAACAGGCTTTAATTTTATAAATTAATTTTATTTATTTATTTATTTTAACATTGATCTTTGTAAATGCTATTACCGTTAATTTTATAGTTTGTAAACATTTTTAGGATATTGTATATTGTATATTTAGCCTGATTGTTTTTACCATGTATAAATAAAAGTAATGATGATGATGATGAAGAAAAAGCAAGAGGGGGTGGGGGCTCATGTCATAGTTGACTGATACCGAGCTAACACAGGCTGGAGGAAAGTTGCTGACGTATTGAGCACATGATCCAGAATATCGAAGAGCGCTTTGCTTACTTTGAACTTGACATGGAATAAGATGCAATGCGCAAACCATTGAACACTTTGCTATTTCCTAGTATATTGGTGTATCTATCACGGGAAGGTGTCTATTAGACAGGGGGCCTTAAATGAGAGGAGGAGGGGGGGGAGTCCATTGGAAACCCTTTGGAGTTTTGATCTTTGACTTCTTTCGATCATCCACGGGCTCCGTGAAAAGGATAAGCTCGTGGGATAGATATGACGAACGGAGAGCAAAAGAGAACAAAGCTAAGAGGGTTTTATAAAAATTTCATTGATTTTGTTCGCCAATAAAAATGTTAAATTTGGTCTAGAGAAAGTACACGGACCTTTCTCTTAGTACTTAAATCCTTCATCATTCAACAACGAGCTTTATTTGCATGACCATACAAGCACATGCAGTATTGCAAAAGCTATTTTTAGGGATCAAAATTACAACACAGGGCAATTACGTTACTTTGATAATAATTTGTCACGAACATCAAAACAAGCTGAAATGTATTTTATGAATTGTATATTGATAACGTATTTAGAACAGTTCATTAGTTCATTGATCAAACCGTTTATAGGTAACTAGGTAATATTTGGAATCAGAGTCTTGACTTCATAGTAAAATTTATTCGTTATCATACATTCCTAGATCGAGTTATGGTGAGATGACTCATCATTTTAATTTGTACCTGACCGGCTCTGGACGAAACCCTATCATAATGGCGTAGCGTGCGAACCCCCCCCCCCCGGGGGTAGTCTGCCATACAGCCGTTTTCAGTGTCGTCACGCAACGCTCCCTCAAGGGAGGAACGATGCGTGACGACACTAAAAACACATTTGACCACCCCCCCTCAAACACATTTCGGGGGCGGGGGGCGGCGGTGAGTTTAATAGAGATGGAGGGCCTATTTAATTTGGCAGAATGATGGTATTCGATCACCTTAAAGAACTAGAATGCAAAGTGGAAAAAAGCCCATTAAAACAAGTTCGAGGTCATACAGGAGAGGATCAAAAACAAATCTGAACTTCCAGCCGGTGAATAAACCATCCTGGATCAGTCCACATGTAGTTTTATAGTTGCGATTGATTAACATAGTCTATCATTTATTAGTGAATAATAATCATAATATTAAGGGGGAGGGAGGGGGTCTTATTAATTTTCTTCCCCTGAAAAGGGAGGGCTCATTAGAGAGGGGGGACTTAATAGAGGATTTGTGGTGTAAAAAAACGAAACGAAACAAACAAATAAACAAACAAATTGCCTAAGTTCATTTAGCTCTGTTAGCTCATTTGAATTATTTTTCTTTAACAACAGCACGTTGTTTGCTTTCTTAAACAATGAACTCTTTCTTTCTACTCCTGAAAGTAGGTTTTGATTTGAATCTTGAATGTTGTTAAGATGCTCAGTTTCCCCTACCTACAATAGCCTGCAAGCAGCTCACTAATATATACATACATACATACGTTTTATTGAGTCTCCCTTTACAGGGCTTTTCACTTGTGCGAGCTCGGGAAACATTTTGGTGGTGGAGCCGCCATCGTGTGAGAAAATTCGCTTTTCCATCCTCGCCAAAATTTTCCCCGAACTCGCACAAGTGAGTCTGGGTTTCCCAGGAGCCTCCCCCACCCAAAAAGACACAAAAATAGTCGATAATACTTATCACGCAGAACATTTTTCAAATAATTTTAACCTTAGTAAGAAAAACGTATTCATGGTATAAAAATAACGTTTCCAAGTTGTATAGTTTTAATACAGCCAAAAAAAGAAAAAAATCCTTTAAACGGCTCTTTTAGGGTAGCCTTAGATTTTTTTTTAAAATCTTGACTCTGACCCTTCATTTTCTCCTAAAAAGGTTTTTATTTTTTACTTCCTCTAAAAAAGTAACAAATTTCCAAGAAGACTAGTGAGACTGGTAGAAATGGTAATACCAGTAACATGAGACCTCTTTGGCAGAACACCGGGGGCACTACCTTATTTGGCCTAAACGGGTATTCGCGGCTGAACAGGGTATGGTTTTCAGGGTCTAAAGCTCTTAAACAGGGTATGCAATTTCGCTATTTAGCGTCTTGAACAGGGTCTCTTCCTGGACCAGAAGTCTTTAAAAAGAATGTGAAGGCTTGTAATGAGCTGTCCACATTTGTGGTACAAACAACGATATTTGTTTGAAAAACTACTTATATCTGTAAGTGAAACGTAAAGAATCAGAATTAGGTCTCTTGTCTTTAACAGGGTATTGAAATGAGTATGCAATTTAGTTTCTGTCTTAAACAGGGTCAGGGTTTGAGGGCCTCGGCGGCACATCTCTACCCAATGTTCCATTTAAGTGCCCCCGCTTCGTGCAGGGGGGGAGAGAATTATACCTCGTAGGACTTTACCAATAGGAATTTGGCTGTTTTTGTTAATTTTGTTAATAGGGTGTTACTTTAGTGCTAAAAACTATGAATGTTGACAATTGAGACAAATCATGGCAAACGAACATTCCTTTGGTGCTTTAGTGCTAAAAACTATGAGTGTTGACAATAGAGACAAATCATGGCAAACGAACATTCCTTTGGTTCCTGTTCCAAACATAACGCAATCGTTCGGGTGATCGTTTTCAACTAATGACCCACCACGATCGACGCATTATTCCGGTAATGGAATCGTAACGACCCCTTTCACGAACGAAGTAGACGAAAGCAGACAGCCCGCTCTAACGATCGAAAGAGAGTAAGCGTTTATGATCTAAATGATCTCGCAGACGTACAAGGAAGTGTACTTGCAATCGTTGTTTGATCCGGATGTTTCCGCGAAACTAATAAAGTCATACCAATAGACCCTTTCCGTCACACAAAATTCTACACCACACACCAAACAGTTCACACCTCAAGACAGTGGCGATACTTATGTATGCCGAGGCCATGAAACTCAATTAATGCATGGTGAACGAGTGGATCTTATCAGCATATACAAAGCTTCTTATTATGCAAAACTACGGCAAATTAAATTAATCTGTGGTCATGTTTAGCTTAATAACCAACGCAAAAGTACTAACCTTACTTGTTCAAAAGAATCCAAGGAAATTCGATCTTAAATAATGAAACATGAGGTATCACGATGAAGGCGCGGAACTGCTCAAATGGAAAGTGAAAGTGATTCAACGCAAATTGCCATCATGTGACCATTATTAAAGACCATTAAATACAGTACAGCCATTGGACATCACGCTAGTGTGATCTCTTGGTCACACATTTTTTGACAGTCACGCTATATGTAGAAATTATATTTTAAGTGAGACCAAAATCACTTCCGGCTAACATTTGACGCTGGCCATATCTTCCTCTTGTATTTCACAGAATGAGGAAAGGATACTTAGATTTAAGATAGGTAAGTAGGTGCTCGAAAGAAAACACCAGTCAGTCAAAACTTGAATGAAGGGACTTATTCCTTTTACAAATTTAGCGTTATACATAACATAGGCATTGATGACTCATTAACATCGAGGGTACAAAGTATTTAAAAAGACCTTAATTAAAATCATTTCACGTGATTGTAGTGGTAACTAACAAAATGTTCCAAGCCTTTTACTTAACGCTTTCATAAGCGACCGCTCTCATAATAAGTTAATTTCGAAGTGGTCGTTAAGTGACTATAACCCTTATTAAATCGACACTTAAACGATGTCCCGCGGAGATCGCTTACAAGAGCCGATTTTCTTAAATGACCAGGCCCTAGTTGTTCAAAAGGTGGGTAACGCTTAGACTTGCTACAGGTCGACCTCTCATAAGTTCTTAAAAGTGAGCGAAGCGAGCTTCAATGCCTGAGGTCGTCCATCGACCGAGAGAGCGACGACGTCTCCACGCCATGACGTCACCGGTAGAATTTTCGACCGGTGAATTTCGCGCCAAACAGATATGAAAAGTCCTTTAAAATGGCATAACCAACCAAGAACTTCTTAGAAAGTCTAGATAACGCTATCCACCAGGTAAATCATAGCACATTTAGTTTCCCTACCACTTATCCGTTGGATAGTGATTTATCCGGTGGATAGCGCTATCCAACGTTTGAACAACTGAGCAAGCCCTAGATGCAACCACTTTCACAATGTCCTGAGGTGATGGCAAGACTCCATACCATACCCTGGTAAACCATACCCTTTTTAGTAGCACAGAGATGTTTAGGCGAAATGAAGGAGTGGCCCTGGAGGGTGGCAATCAGGTAAACTTACCTGATAATCACTGTGAAAATTGCGTGTTTGTTTTATTGAAGCTTCTTTAACGTTTCTGTGAACTTCAACCATGAAGCTCTTTTTACTGTTAATATTGGCTGTTGGAGGCAAACATTAAAAAGAAACGCACATATATGTTTGCCCAGCTGTACTGCACATCAGAGATGCTTTTTCGAGTTTTTTTTTTATTCACGGAGGATCCAAGGGGGAACATGCACTAAATATGGCTAAAGTGGGTCTTCTACGTATTGTTTTGAAACACGACAATGGTGGATTGAACGTTAGACAGAACCTTTAAAAAGGTCATTCACCGTTTCTATTAGGTTCTCACTGGTAAGTTATTCAGTCATAGTCAGTGCTCAGATAGTCCGTCCGTGGTTGACGGTATATCGGGAATTTGTGATTCAAGACACAGGAAAATGTCCGTTGTCCATATTAACCCGGGTTAATTTGTGAGTTTTCATACAGGCTGAGAGAGGAATCAGAACTGGATTATGAATTTTCCATGATACCGAGTCGACCTAGTCTTATTATTTTTTATGGAATTGGCGAGCGTTTTATTAAGCAATTTATAGAGCTAGTCAACTGCCGGACCGTTTAATAAGTGTTTCTAGGATCAGGGGCGGATCTAGGGTGAGGGTGCAGGGGTGAGGGCGAACCCCCCCCCCCCTGAGATGACCTGCGGTTTTCTAATGCAACTGGTATTCTGCAAAAGAAAAAAAAACTACGTGGTTTATTGGTGTTGAAGTAGAGCAAGAGACGAGTGCACCCCCTCCCTGGATCCGCCCCTGGATACTTAACTTTTCTGACTGGAGCCCCAGCTCGCGCGAGTCCTGGATCTTAAAATTGTCGTTGCGAATCGCCTGGTGTAACATCACCTTAAGTCCTAGCTTTAATATCAGTTTATACCCACAATAAAGAAGCTAAGCCTCACAACGGGAGGTAGGAGGTACTTCGCAACTTACAACACTTGTAATTCCCATTTTCTTCCGCCCTTTCACTTAGTTTTTGCTTCACGTTATGTTCGCGACACACTCTTTGCATCACTTTCATTTCGCGATTTCAAAATAATCGCGAAATTCGCATGTTATTTTTCCACTTTAAAGACGAGATATTTTTTTTTTTTGCTGAATTTAGGGAACTAAAAGAGGAGACAAAATCTTCACCAAGAGCACCTTCCTATTCAACCAGAATTTGGAAAACAGCCGGGAAAACGGATTTAACTACATGAAACGGAAACGGAAGTTTTAAATCCGATTTCCATTAGGAAAACGAAATCCGAATTGAAGTTTCTCTACGGGAATTCATCGTAGAAGACATCAATTTCAGCTTAAAAGGAGAATAGAAAAAAGCAGTTGAAGAACCGTATGAAGGAAAAGGCCTGTCAGCAGATGAGTTTCACTGACTGGTTCTGAAAAGTATCATCTCCCAACGGCTTGACGGTTCTACTCGCCAGAAGAAAGAAAGGAAAAACCATGCTGCCTGTGTGCTTGTTATCTGCTGTTTGACCCGCGTCATCAACGGCAAGATAATTGAAGACGAAGCGATCTGTAACTTTTGGCGATTTTTGGTTGAGGACTTCTTCTTGCCGGTTATAAAACCGCCAGGAACTTACTTTAATAATAAATTGTTACCTTCTTGCAGATCTTCGAAGTTCAGCTCTTCTTTCCCGACCACCAGCGTTCTTTTGTGTGCTCCGCTGTATCCAATTCGTCCTGATAGAAATTCAAAGAGTGCGTGACGGCAAAGCGTTTTAATTTTTCTTAGACAAACATTGCATTGAAAGTTGCTAAGTTGAAGAGCCGCTACATTCCTTATTAAATAGTTTTCCAGCCCGATTCCTTCAGCAACAACTTGAATAGATTTATGCTGGATTTTATATAACTCGGCGCGCGTCGTTGCAACTTTCAAGGAAGATTCCTTCAGTGGACGAGCACATTTGAACTTTTTTTTATAGTACCTTTACTTTAGATTGCTTGTTTTAGGAAAACAAAAGAAAAACAGTGCGAGAAATACGAAGTGCATCGCGGCCAGACTTATTTGACAGCTAGTCATTCACAGTTGCGTTATTTTTGTTATTTTTTTAATTAGTAGGCGGGATGGCGAAAACAATGGCTTGCTTGCAGGCGTTCCCCTCCTCCCTCCTCCCTCGCGCGTGGTCTCGCGCCCCAATTCCCTTCCCCTTCCCTTTCGAACGCCTGTTGCCTGCGTGGCAGGCGTTTGGAGGGGAAGGGAAAGGGAGTTTTAGGCGCGAGAGAAACGCGAGGACCTCTCGCGCGCCCCTCGCATTTCTCTCGCGCCTAAATCCGGGCGTAAAACTCCCTTCCCCTTCCCTTTCAAACGCCTGCCACGTAGGCTAAGAAAAAACGGAAAAGGAGAATCTGCTATCCGATAACAGATAAAATCAAGCGGAAACGGAAATGGAAGGGAAATTTCCCTGTTCTAGACCGATAAACAACGGTTGGCACTAAGTTACACAGTCATATTCTTTTTCTACTCACAGTACGAGTCACTTTGACTGGCTGCAAGAGAGAATAAAGGGGACAGAGAAGGCATCCCCCATACACACCCTATTCCATAGGTAATTCGTCTCGAGTCATTTTTAGAATCGGGATAAAGTTACCTCGCGCGCTGCGTGGATGTTTCGTGGAGGTTTCGCATGACTAAACGCCTTGCAAAACATGTCGGGCGAAAGGCAATGAAAGCGCAAAGAGACAGAGAGCATTCCGGAATATTGAAGCGAAATGTGTCGGCGCTCACCTGGGAAAAGGGAATCGCTGGACTCTTTGACAACCCGTGAAATCAGTTTAACTGGAAGTTGTCGTAACCTCAGTGCTTAAATAAAATGAGAAATTTCGCCGGTCTATTGAAACCGGTCGTTTGTACAATAAAGCAAGTAGGACGCCAAGTATTATTTCTGTTGAATAATAAAAGACTAATAAAAGAATAAATATCAAACCAGAAATTGCTCTCTTCAAACTGTAAATTATAAATGATCCTGAGGCAATACTCAGTGTGTTAAGGATTTCCCTGCTGTACTGTTAGCTCTATACAAGAGAGGAAGGGCGATTCTTTTTTAATTTCCATTTCGCTGACACCGCTTTAGTAGAAATCTCTCTTTAGTCGTTTTCGTCGACAAAACAAATAGCAATATCGTTCTCCGCGTCTTCCGCCACTTTTTTCTGCGTCAATTCGTGAAGGGATCGAAGCGTGGCTCTGAGCGTGGATCATCCACGCGGAACACATTCGCACTATGTGATTGGCTGTTGTTTAATCCCCCTTCGGGATCTGTGGTCTTAAAAATAACTCGAGACGAATAACGGATGGCATATGGTGTGTATCGGGGATGCCTTCTCTGTCCCCTTTATCCTCTCTTGCTCGCTGTTAATATAGCTCGATGAACAACAAATTGTACGTTCTATCATCTATCGATTTTCTTTACGACAGATTTCAAACTTTTGTGGCAAGTTGGAGGAGCAAGCAGGATTTAAACGTCGGGATTACGGTCAATGCGCCGAACAACGATACTCTTGATTTACGCCGTTGACTATGCCACTGATGTGGAAGGTACTCTTTTCCTTCATTGATCTCTTATTATTCACTCCAGGAAAAGTCAACTCCTGCCCAGGTAGGTCCCATTAGTCTTGGTTTAATCAGATAGTTTTGTGTTCAACTGGACACGTTTTACCTTCAGGCTAGGCCAGCAGGGAATAGTGCGATACCAATATACCCGATATTTTCCTCATAAGATACCAATATACCTAAAAATTATAAAATCTTTGATACCGAAGTTCTGTTGAACACATTTTTGTCACTTAATCTCACACATCCGCATATCAAAATGTCTACAAAAACTCGTGTTTAAGAGCGCGTCTCCGTAAGAACCGACCAGTGATTTCGGATCGAAAAATTTATTTCCCTTATACCCTGGGATATTAAAGCCGCTACCTAAGTAGTTACAAATTTGCATTTCGTTTGACCGAAAATGCAAAATATTTTTTTTATGAATTTTTGAATTTCCTGCCGGTCAGCATATCCTTTGAAACTGCAAAAATCGCCAACATTGGCGACGCTATAGAAAACAAACACTCTAAATTTCCTAGCCAAATCACAGTTCCGAACTATTTATTCATTTTAACGGCAAGAATCCTTTTTCTGGCACGTGTCATCGGCCTTTTATCAAAACACGAAAATAGCTCAACTTTGACGGCAGTTTTAAAAAGTGTGAAATCTGTCTGAACTTTGCTATCTGTATTAATAAAAACTAGAAATGATAGTAAAGCATAAAAAAAGAATAAAATTTTTATGCCCCTTACGTTTTGGAACTTGACCGCCCTTTGAATTTCCAGAAATTTCGAAGACCTGACAATTAACGAACACTGGCTTTGTCGATCTGCTAGTGAAGTCCAACTTCACTTGCTGGCTTTATGGATCTGTCCTAAGTTCTTTATCATTTAAAGGTTTTCTCTTGATCATCTGAAGCTATATTGCCCGTTGATTCCGTGTTTTTACTTGTTTTGTTGCCAGTTATCTTGTTTATAAGGGCCGTTAATCCGCTAGAGCGTGACTGGTTCGTCAACCGAGCTCGAGGTCTTGGCTAGGATAAAAATAGTATTTCATTAAGGCCGACTCCTCAAGACATGGCAGTAAAATTTCTTGGGATAATAAAACACATTTCTTCGCAAATATGACGCGATAAGAGGCAAGAAAGCGATTTAACCCAGCTATCTATTTGAAATACTGTATGCGTAGTTGTATGCGTGACCTTGTATTCATGCCCAGTCCTACTGGACTGGACACGAAAAAGATAAGGGGTAGCAATTCCTTCCACAAAGTGTTCTTTCTCGGACTTGGCTAAATCTACTTGTTGAGATTTTCGAGGTTTGGTATATTCAGTATGTACGTTGCGAAATGTGAGAAAGACAATATCTATCTATACTACCAGTATTGTCTAAGATCTTGGAAAGGATTGTATATAAACAGTTGTTGTCACACCTCGAGAATAATGGTTTACTGTCATCTTTCCAGTTTGGATTCCGATCTAAACGCTCTACTGAACTAGCAGTTACATATTTTGCTGACATAATCGGGAAAGAAGTTGACAATGGAAACATCCTGGGTGCTGTTTTTATCGATCTATCAAAAGCATTTGACACTGTTAGTCACTCGTGCCTTCTTAATAAGTTGCCGTCTTATGGA